AAGTATCACCCTAACCGTCCCCTCCGCTCATCCATTGACCTCCTGCTTTCCAGCTCCCTTGTCCACTCCTCCCATGCTCGCCTCCAGGACTTCTCTAGAGTCTCTCCCATCCTCTGGAACTCTTTACCCCAACCTGTCCGTCTATCTCCCACCTTGACTGCCTTTAGGCGTTCCCTAAAGACTCATCTCTTCAGGGAAGCCTATCCCACCGCAACCTAACCACTGAACCTTCACATTCTCACATAATTCATTCCCACAGCTCCCTCCTCATGTATCATTTCCCCCTCCTCTTTTAGATTGTAAGCCCTCAGGGGCAGGGCCCTCCTTACCATCTTGTCTTGAATTGTATTGTAACTGTAATGTCTTCCTTATATTGTAAAGCGCTGCGCAAACTGTTGGCGCTATATAAATACTAAGTAATAATAATAATAATGTTCAGACAAAACTTTTTTTCTTATTCATGGATAGGGTGGAAAGGATTACAAACCCTGTCAGACTTTTACTGCTATCTGGGCCTCCCTTAGATGTGTTCTCACTTCTTGTCTTGTGACTTCTTGTCACAATATTTTACCAGATAGGAACTTAAGTGTAATTAGACCCTATAAGGTCCAACTGTTTCTCATTTGGAGGGACTGACCCTCTTTTGGAACCAAATGCCTCTGCCCTTCTTTCCTCTTCAGTTGTCCCTCTTTTTGGACTGATATAAAGTTATCTATGAAAAGGTTCTATTTAACTATCAGAAGTGTTATTCTGCAATAAAACCTTCATCTTATCTGTTAATGATCTCAATTGCTATTTGGAAAAGTCAGTATAAAGGGAAACTAAATACTGAAAAAACAACAGTTCTTAATGGTCCACATAACTGGGGGCATGTCAGTGGCGAGTCAATTGCCTAAATACATTGGGGGGAACTCATGAAAACTGGAGCAGACAGTTTTCATATGGCAACCAATTAGCTTCTCTCTTCAGTTTGTTCAAGTAAGTTTTATAAATGAAAGAGAGAGAAGCTGATTGGTTACTTTGGGCATCTGTTCCATTTTCTGTTTGCTCCAGTTTCTATGGATTCCCCCATTGTGCTAGAAGGTGTCCCTCTTTCTTTAACTGTTTCCCAAAACTTTTATTTTCAAGGCATGCCAACTGTCAAGGCTTGCTTTTGTAAGCTCTCTCAACCAAACTTTTAAGCCCTTAAATGACTGATCACATGTGCAGCGCCATTGCAACTGCAATCCAAGCAGAGGGTAAGATGGCACCTTACTGGGTTGTAAAGGCTAGGGGTGCGTAGTCTTGCTTTAAAGGATAACTCCACGAATTAACAAAGTTTATGCAGGCTATTAACGCACTGCAAGGTTTAACTGCTCCTTTTGGTCTAGGGGTCTGAATTAAAGAAGATATACTTACCTGATCCCTCCTGGTGGCTAGACCGGTCCCCTCAGCCTCTTCTCCCCCAGGCAGGACAAAGAGTAAAGTTTACCATACACTGTTTCATCGATGAACTGGTTCAAAAATCGTTCAGTGCGTGGCCCTGTTGGCACCCTTCCTTCCGGTATCCTTTGATCAGATCACATTTTCAGGTGAACAATGGCCAATCAGCTAGCATTACAGTTAGGATATATTGGCAGTGGCACACCTACCGCTGTCAGATTACAATAGTGCAGCAGGAGATTCATCAATCCATGCTGTTTAGCGTGGACGGAGGAATCTATTTTATTTTTGGTTTAAACTCCAGGTTAAATGAAAAAAACATAACAGCATGATATCTAATCCTTCCCCACTATATCCAAAAACCTGCTTGGACATACACTTTAAATAATGAAGGCTAACATCAAGGGGTGATGACGTTCTTCTATTAACTATGGGAACTTTATATGATTCCGTTCACTTCCTCATTCAGAATTGATATTCTCTCCTTACTTTTAGCTGCGCTTGCTCTTTGACACTATGGGCTAATCTTATTAGATATAATTTGACAGTTACCAGACACTACCACCTTTTTCCTGCACACATCTGAAACTATCTGCCAAGATATTATCTTTTTCTCTCTTCAGCATATGCCATTTGATCCACCATCTAGCTTCACACAGTCCAACATGGTTAAAGGATTTGTATTTTAATACTGCTTTCTGCCAAACTGAGCTGTCGATAAAATGTATGTCTAAATATGGCAGGCATCATTGCTCCGTCCATAAAAAAGAGAGGAGAGAAATTTAGTAAATAGAGCAGCTTAAAGCTGGCCATACACCTATAGATTATCTACAGATTTTCTATGGTCAGATGGAAAAAATGCAACAGATTCCTCCATCTATGCTAAACTGTGTAAATGGAGGAATCTCCCGCTGGGCCAAGCTTCAGTATCTTGCTAGCCGGCCCCGCTGGCTGTCAAACTACCTGAACAATCTGATTGGATGCAGGCATTGTTCAGGTATTTTGAGTACAAAAAGTAGCCACCCTCCAGAAGGAAGGACAATGTCAGCACCAATTCAGAGACAATTTGCGGATCTACAGCCGAGTGATACACAAATAACATTTTTTTTTAAGTTAAAGGAGAACTATGAGGCGAGTGAAAGTCACTCAGCCTCATAGTTCTAGCCGACCTGTGACAATGAAACTGTCACAGGTCGGCTCAGTAGATTGGGAAGTGAGAGAACACATACCGTCGCTTGCTCACTTCTCGATCCTGTCCCTGCAGAGAGCAGTGACTGTCACTCACGGCTCCCTGCAGGGATTCCCCCCCTCCCCTGTCTGATCCTCCAGCACTGACTGGCGTAACGGACGGGGGAGGGGGTGGGTACAGCTGGCTCTGCCTCACTCACGGAGCTGGGTGGATCCAGAGAGTAATGTTGTGATCCGTCCCGGCTGCGACGTCTCAGCTATATACTGAGCTTTGGGTAACAGGAGGATGCTAGTTTCTGTCCTCCTGTTACCCTTAGGAGAACTATGGGGAAAAGCCCTGACACCATAGTTCTCCTCTAAGGTACTTGAATGCATTTCTAAGATTTAACTTCTGAATTTAGAAAATACATTTTCTGTCCAAAAATTCAGATTTTAGCATGTGCGCGCAAAGATTAAAAACTTGCTCTGCTGCTAAGGTGATTCATTACTGGGTTCAACCTTAAGGTGAGAGGTGCATGGTGGAGGATTCATTTTACTTACCGTGTGGTGGTTTTTCCACATCTAATAGACTTTGCACTTTTAATTAAATGGATATTTTATATTTGAAGTCCCAAACTAGATGAACTGTTGATTGATATAATTCTATGATGTGTCCTATTTATATTATTCATTTCTACTTTGATCTTTGGAAGTGGTTGTCCTACACTACACTAATTATACAGTGCAGATATGTATGGGTTAATTCTGTTAATTCTGTTTCACATTATTTCTATGAGCTTTACTGTAATAAAATGCATTATTTTTCAGGGGCTTTCCTTATTCCATACTTCATCATGTTAGCCATCTGTGGAATTCCCCTCTTCTTCATGGAACTGTCCTTGGGTCAGTTCTCTAGCCTGGGGCCCTTAGCTGTGTGGAAAATAAGTCCACTTTTTAAAGGTGAGTCACACTTATGATATGGATAAATGGTTGTATGCTAATACAGCACAAAAACGAAACTAGACTTACCTGTGCTGTGCTCCTGCATCCATAAGCTCTCTCACCGGAACTGACTTCTTCCCCAGGCCGGGATGACATTACTGCTGCACATGTCATGAATTCCTACCTGTCTATTCTCAATGTACACAGAGCTGCACAAGTACAGCTACAACTTCTGCATCTGCTGAGATGAATGAACTCCCGCTCATGCGTGGGGGAGTTACATCATCCCGCTGCCACCAATCAAGATGTCTGAAGATCCTGTAACAGGGATAAGACCAATCAAAGATTGCAGTGGCCAGTAAGGGACCTTGTGGACATACCATCGCTGGACGTCAAGTGGATATAGTTCCACTTTAATATAGTGCAAAATATTCTGCTTCAACTCTGCACATCTATCCTCCCTCATCATATTGTTACCCTTTCATACCTCCCTAACTTCTAACTTAATGATTTATTATTGGTATTTATATATTGTCAACAATTTACACAGCTTTACATAGTTGCACATTCACATCAGTCCCTGCCCTCAAGGAGCTTACAATCTAAGGTCTCTATCTCACATGCATACATAAATGATGCAACACTCCTTGTTACTTCTGGACTTACCCTACAGCATACCACTCTTTCTGATATTTCAATCACAGTCATAATGATCAGTGTTCCACGCTTCTATCCAGACTTAGTCCACCATTCTTCCCCATCTGTGTCCCCCACCCTAAGATAGAAGAGAGCTGCTAGTGGTCCCGTTCTCCACTAGCTGCTCTCCTCTCTTTGCCTCTAGCCCCAATGACACTACCAGCCATATATTTATATGGTAGCTGTGACAATACACCTTATTCTCGCAAGATTGTGACAGTTTATAAATGTGAAAGATTCTGCATTGAGATGAGCACTATTATAGTATATGTGTTGCAAAGGATACAGCCAGATTGATAAATGTCCCCCGGTGTCTTTAGTGCTGCACAGTGTGAGTATTAACCATATAGACACATGCCAATATTATTGTCACCTCTGTAGCTCACTTTAGAGTACACATGAAATAACAGAACATGGAGGCTGCCATTGCAGACCTCTATGATTAAAAATGCTTATTGCCTGGTTGACATGCTGATCCAATACTTTAATACTGTCTGAGGTACTGACTTGGGACAAGTATGCAGATCCTGAATTCTGACTTTTTATTTTTGCATACTTATTCCTGGTTCAGTGAATCAGAGTGCAAAAGTCATAGACAAGAAGGCAACTAGTATTCATAGAAGGACAGCAATTTAAACCCCTGTATTTTTCTCAGTACAGTTTTCCTTTCACAAGCCACCAGACAAGTTATTACATTGACAATGGTTTCCCTGCTTATATAGAACAGTCAGTGTGTGTGTACACATAGAATATTTGTTCCACAATATTAAATGAAAATTAAATTATACATAACATAAAGATCAAATAAGAATAGTTCTCTAGATCTATTTACCTTTTCTGTTCAATACATTTTTATTGGAATTTTTAAATGTTAATTTTTTAAGAGGGATCCTGTGTCTTTAGGGATCCTGGGACTTGATGGGCTGGATTAGATGGGAGACATCTAGAAAGAGGACCAATTTATTTTTTGCATTTATTGTATATTTATTGCTTGTCTTTTTTGTGTGCTCTTTAGGTGTTGGGATGGGCATGCTTTTCATTGTGGCCCTAGTGGCCATCTACTATAACATGATAATAGCCTACGTGTTATTCTACCTCTTCGCCTCTCTGACCACCAGCTTGCCCTGGAAGCATTGTGGCAACTGGTGGAACACTGAGCTCTGCCTTGACCATCATGTGATGCGGTCCAGCAACTCTGCACTTCCAATAAACATCAGCAGCACTGTTAGCCCCAGCGAGGAGTATTGGAGGTGAGTGTCGGGGACCTACATTGTTTTGTGTTACCTGCACGACTACTGAGAACATAAATGAAATAATAGGTAGATATAATGTATAAGTTTGGTTAAGGATAATAGTAAAAGTAACCAGTCATGATCAATAATATCTGATTATTCATTTTATATTGTGATTCCTATGGTCAATGCTTCCACTGAAGTCGCTACGTTCTTCACATCCAAGGGAGTACTGGAATTGGGGATCCGGGACAGATTCGATGGAAACTGTGTCTGTGTCTTCTCCTGGCCTGGACTATTGTCTATCTATGCATCCTAAAGGGAGTGAAGTCTTCTGGCAAGGTATAGAATATCCACATAATAATATTTTCTTTTAGGAATTTATTCAAATATGGTATCTGTATAGAGTATTGTGGAGGAGTTATTCAATCACAGGAGTTTTGATGGCTATGTTCAAATGAGGATAACAGTGGAACTTCATGTTCAACCTTTTTGTTGACCCTTTAAGTTTGGTTAAAGTGAGGAAGGGCCACAATGTCTTTTTGCTGTGTTTCCATTTGGGAAATTTAGTTTTACCTCCTGCCTGGTGATCGTTGTCACTAGTAAAAAAAGTGAGAGTCAAAGTGCGTATGCAGCCAAAACTTTTTGTAGTTTTAGAGAAGAGGAAATTTAGAAGCTTTGTCAGTTTTACATTGCTGTTTGAGTCCATGTTGAGTATATTCACACTTGCTTTTTGTCCTGGTAACCAATATCACTGGAATAGGAAGTAAGGTGTTTTCTTCCACTGGGGACACCTGTTCCAGCAGTTTGCTGACCGCCAGGGATTTCTCTCTCTTTGAAAGGATTTACTGTCACTAGCTGTTTTGAATATCAGACCAGGAAGTGAAGGTAAATCTCGCCAATTGGACAAAGATGGGAACAAAGGCTGACAGGGGTTATAACGCTTTTTTACTCTATACAAAAAAGTTTTGGCTTGAGTTGTTCTTTAAAATAAAAAGGGCATTTCTCTGAACATGCCTATCCTGATGCCAATGCTGCCAATATTTCTCTTGAAGAGCTAAGCTGGCTGAAAACATCCTGCATCTGACAACATTCTGGGTGTGTTGGGTGCCTGGTCCCACAATAAGAGCTCTGGTTCCACCTGCTGGCCCCTATGTCCTGTAGGAACATAAGGGCTGGAGGATGTTGCAACATCACATAGCAGGGGACCAGGCATACTGCAAACCCAGACATGGGTTAAATGTTAAATATTTTTCAGCCAGCTTAGATTTTTAAGAGAAAAAAGATCAGTGGCTTGGGCAACTGAACAGGTATGTATTAGGACCTGTGTTGACAAGTTTGTATTACCTTTAAACAGGTTTTGCATTGTCATACAAGATTACACCCACTTAAACTGCAGATCAAATGTACCTGTCAATAAATTCTTAAGCTGGCCATACACCTATAGATTATCTCCAGATTTTCTATGGTCAGATAGAAAAAGTGCAACAGATTCCTCCTTCTACGCTAAAATGTGTGGCTGGAGGAATCTCCCACTGGGCCAAGATTCAGTATCTTGCTAGTCGGCCCCGCTGGCTCTCAAAACACCTGAACAATCTGATTGGATGCAGGCATTGTTTAGGTATTTTGAGACCCAGCGGGGCCGACTAGCAAGATGGAGGAATCTGTTGTACTTTTTCCATCTGACCATAGAAAATCTGCAGATAATCCATAAGTGTATGGCCAGCTTTCGTGATCTTAGGAGTGTCTCCAACTGACGCCATTGACACAAGTCTTAACTCCTTTAACGCAAACAGGCATTTAAAAAAATCTTCTTAGGGCTTGTTCACACCTACTACAGTGCGTTCCAGCAAGCTTAGCTGCTGGAATGACCTGTATCTCATACTAAACTCCCCCCTGTGTTCTGGGGCGGGGGGGCTTGGCAGTACATTCAAGTAAATGGCCCAGGAGCCACGCCCCACCGCTCGCCGAATGAGCGCCCGCAACAGAATGTGTGACACAACAATGCCTGTGTTCTGTTCCAGTGCTATCGGGAAAAAATACTGTACGCACTAGTTTTTGCAATAGCACTGGACCAGAACGCAGGCATTGTTGTGCCATGCATTTTGGTGCAGGCGATCACACTGCAGACGGGTGGGCGCGGCTGTGGGCCATTGACTTGAATGCACCACCACAGAACACAGGGGGGAGTTTAGTGTGCGATACAGTGCGTTCCAGCATCTAACTGTGCTGAAGCACACTGTAATTGGTGTGAACAAGCCACAGGGTAGCAACAGGGTCACTTTATATGCACAACACCACATTTCACCGCTGTTTGGATATTAGTAGATAAAAATGATATTATTAATGAAAAATTATTTTACAACACTAGTTTTTGAGTAGAAAAAGCCCCAAAAAACTAATAGGAAACATATTAATAGCCCATTCAAAGAGAAAAAAAACAACCCAGCTTTTGTTTCAATATACATCTTCAATCCAGAGATCCCCCTCCCCCAGTACTTTTTTTTCCTCTATATATCTTTAGACCGATTCCTGAACTCATTCAAACCACTTCTTCTGAGCTTGTCACTGGAAAGTGAAGGATAAGCAGCACAGTGATAAGCTCCTCTGTCTGTCACTGTGCGTTTTCGCCCAATCAGCATGCTTCTTGTCAGCACATAAACTCATTGGCTCCTTGTGCTCCTTTTTCCTCCTACACTCCAGCCCTGCTGTATAGGTACTATATGAGGCTGATACCAGGTCACAGTCAGCTACTTACACTCTTTGTATTTTAAAAATACTGTATATTAACAATGTATTTGGGATTACAGAGCTTCATTCATTTGTGTCTTGTATATGTGCTGAGACTTCAGCATTAAATAATAAAAAAACATATTACTTAACCTTATTTGCTCTAAAACTGGCCCTTCTATGGTTATCATACTGTGTGTCAGGGTTTTAAATATGATATAACATTAATGGAGGTTCTATTATTCTGTGTATATGCATTATGTCTACAGGTACATCAGACCATTAACAATAAGAACCCAAGTTGGACAATAAAACTATAACACTATGGTTTCACTTCTTGCTTTAAAGTGTTAAAGTGCATATAAACCTTAACAATCAACTTCTTCTAATATGTTCCCTTTTGATCTGTTTAATATACCATCGAAAGAGATTTACATAGTTACATAGTTAGGTTGAAAGTTTAACAAATAGAGAAAAAAATATATATATAACAAAAAGAGTTTTGTTATGTCTATTGGATAACTTAAAAAAAAAAAAATTCCGGAAACTTTGTCAGCTAACTTCCTTTGCTTGCTGACTGTTATCAGTTACTGTAGGATTCTTCCCAGCTCTTTGTAGACTGCAAAACACCTACACCCTGTGTTATGGAAAATGGGATAGAGGGAGATGTTCTGTATTCCTAACACACATGCTGCCCCAGGGTGACAAAGCTTACCAACTGAACTGCATCTATGGAGGACAAGCGCTGCAATCTTGGGCAAAGCAGAAAATCACAGGTTTTTCTATAGTCCTGTCCAAGGGTGACAACGCTTGTCCTCCATTGATACAGTACGGTAAGTGAATCTTGTCACTCTAGGACAGGAAGTATATTAATGCCTGCATTACTAGATACAAATAAAGTTAACTAAAGGTAAGACAAACTATTGCAGCTACCCCATCGAAGAACTGGTAAGATGCAATATAGTCCATTTTTTTTTGTAGATATACTTTAATGGAGTTTTATGTATGAATATTGTTCACCTGTGAAAGCTATACGGAACCTCATACTTTTTCTTTGTGCATTTAGGTAGTATATTTCACAGCTACATTCCCTTACTTGATACTCATCATGCTTCTAGTTCGAGGTGTTACATTGGAAGGAGCCTGGATCGGGATTAAGTTCTACCTAACACCACAATTTGATCACTTACTGTCATCGAAGGTAAATGTCTGACAATTAACCCATGCATGTTTATTAAGAAGTAAAGATGCTGTGCATTTTGTGTGTTAACCTTAATTAGACCATCAAGCTTCCATAAACTATAGTCAGGTCTGGTCTCTGAAAGGCTGCTATGGGACTCTACACATAGCCTGCCTTTATTACTGCTAAATCAAAAGGATCCGTCCACTCACATTCTATTAAAGATCCAAAGATCCAAAACAATACTCACTAAAACTTTTCATCTAGTTCCTATTCAGGGAAAAGGGACTGTGCCCAGGGGCATATCTATCGTAAATAGCGCATATAGCAAGCACTGCAATTGTGCCCCTTGCCAACATCTGACACCCCAGTTCTCGCACACCCAGACACACATGCTAGAGCTTCTAGCTAGCACACCCAGACACACGCATACACACTAGAGCTGCTGGGTCTGTAAGGTTGATGCAGAATAATAAATAATTTGCAGTACAGTGTACAGAATTAAGTGGTGTGGAATATAACAAGGTGAATAGAATGAGGCGATGCAGAATTAGGAACATACAGCATGGCATATGGAATGAGGCAATGTGGAATAGCAAATGTACAGCATGGCATATAGAATGAGACAGAGTGGAATAGGGAACATATATCATGACATATGGAATGAGCCGGAGCAGAATAGGGAACGTACAGCATTGAATATGGAATAAAGTGGTGTGGAATAGAGAAAGCAGTTATACTTACTTGATCCCGCAATGGTCAGTGCTCACATCTTTCTCTCCCCACTCTGGCTGTGGAATGTCCTGTGGCGTCCTCACATCTAATGCAGATCAACGGACCTGCATTAGACATAATGACTCCAGGTCACCTTAGTCACTGGAACCCAGAGGAGAAGAGGCTGTGGGAACTGGTATAGGAGCCTGGTGGGACTGAGGATCAGGTGAGTATATCTCTTTATTTGCTGCCCCTAGAAAAAACAAGCACTTATGTATAGTAGTGCCAGGGTAGGCCCACTGCAAGGGTAAGTTTTTTAAATTCCTAAAGTTCTTTTTTAATTTATATTTTTGCTGTATATTGTTATATATCAGGAATCAAGCATGTATCAATTTTGACTTGTAACTGAAAGGTCCACTTTAAATATGTCTTTGATCCTCTGCTGTGTTGTGTCGAATAATAGGTATGGATTGAAGCTGCACTTCAGATCTTTTACTCACTTGGAGTTGGATTTGGTGGCCTACTAACTTTTGCATCGTACAACACTTTCCATCAAAACATTTACAGGTAAATGAACCTATTTCATTACCACAGGTGGCCAGCCTGCATGTCATATATTTCAGACCTAAAGAACACTGCAAGTAATGAACTGCTTGCCCCATGAGAACTATACCAGAATGTGTCAACATAACAGTATATTATTTTTAACCAAATTCTCTGAGGGCATCTGTAATGTATTCAGTTATGCTGCTAATGAGATAGTGTGGATTTTCACCGCATAAATCTTCTGCCCTTGGAAAATCATAAATGTGTTTCAGTTTTTAAAGTAATGTTCAAAGTGTATGTATAGGGGAAACCTTATTTTGTTTTTGGGTAGAGTAGGGCAGAGTTAAAGCTCCTGTAAGTTTATTTTTTTGTGTACACATGAGAGGCACTAAAATCTTTTGTTATTGATGTCCAGCATTAGGAGTGATTCTCTTTTGTAGCACTTTGGTTTGGAAGCTCCCATATGAACAAAGAACTCCCAAACTATAGAGGGGTCCTTTGGTGAATTAATTTAAAGAAAACAGGGGCACCACCCCTAATGATAGAGTCCAAAGTAGTTTTTTTTATTAACAACATCTTATTATCTGTATTCTTGCAATTCAATATCTGTATTCCTTCAATTACTAGCTTTTGTATATCTGTCCTCTTTTTTTTATTGCAGGGACACATTTATTGTTACTCTTGGAAATGCTTTTACCAGCATACTAGCAGGGTTTGCCATCTTTTCCGTGTTGGGCTACATGTCACAGGAGCTGGGAGTTCCAGTTGATCAAGTGGCTAAAGCAGGTTAGAACAGAACTTAAAATAACTTGTTTTGCTTATTGTATGGCCTTTCAGAAGTGTTTTATTTAAAGTGAATCTGTATTTTACTCATTTGCCTGCCCTACTACCCCATTGCCCCATTGGAGCAGTGTAAAAACACCCTGCACAAGCTCTAAGATGGTTTGGCCTTGTGCAGGGTTAAGGAACCTCCCCCACCAAGCTCACACAGGACAGTTTTCCAGTCTAGTGATGGGCTTTTCACTTTATAGTATACCTTTCAGTTGGAAAAACCTGTCCAGAACTGTCTTATCCCGCTCCCCCGCCTTCCTATTGGCCCACCACCGTGAGTGATCTCCTTACTGGCTGCTTAAAAGGTGTCAGAGATGTTGTACACAACCACACTCTGAAGACAAATGAAACACATACCATAAGAACCAAATCATTGACACATACACAGTCTTTACAGTTTTTTGCTTTAGTTCCTACATATGACAAATCACTAATAAAAACATAAGGAGCTCAATCTGTGCTTTCTGATGCCACATGGTTCTGTAAAACACAAAAATACAGTGCCTGTCCAAAAAAAGTCACCACCTGGTTTTGAGGTCAGCTGCCTTCGGGAATACATTGAATAACCAGGTTTGCTCATTCATGGCACAGAATATTCCAATATGACTATGCCAGGATTCATCTCTCATTGTGAAAGAGGGATTCAAGGAGCATGAGACATAATTTTCACTCATGGATTGGCCACTACAAAGCCCAGACCTTAACCCCATTGAGAATCTTTGGGATGTGCTAAAGAAGACTTTACGCAGTGGTCCAACTCTCCCATCATCACTACCAGATCTTAATGAAAAATAAATGCAACTCTGGATAAAAATAAATGTTGTGCCTTTGCACAAGCTTATCGAAACGATGCCATGGCGAATGCGTGCTGTAATCAAAGCTAAAGGTGGTCCAACGAAATTGGTGTGACTTTTTTTGGGGGGGGACAGGCAGTGTATATAGGGTACAAGAATATTTGCAAAATGATTGCTGGGATCTTAGAATTGACACTTGGGGGAGCAAAGAAAAGGTTGAATACATGTGCATACAATTAATTTCATCAACACTTAAAAAATTGAGGCAAGTGTGTCTGAGAGTTTTTATTTCTCTAACAATTAGTGCGATTGTTTATAGTATTTGTATATTTTTTCTTTCCATTCTTTCTTTCTTAGTTGTATTTAATTTTATTCAGGTAAATTAAAAGTATTAAAAAGCACATTTATACTTACGAAAATCCCACTTGGGTCAGGTGTCTCACACATACACAAGATGTAAGTTATAGCCACTTTGGTGAATAAAAAGCACTCTGCCCTCTTCTGAATGGCCTGCAAGGATTTCAGCCCAATGGGTGCTCTGTGAGAATGAATCACCTATGGGTATTAGTGTGTGTGTGTCTGTGTGTACAGGGGCATGGGAGGGGGGCTTCTGCTGCCATATTAACCAGGATTAGCCAGCAGATGAAGTTATAGAATCTGTTGGCTGGAAGTTTTCTGCAGTTCTTTACTTTTGTCCTGTATATATACAAGGTTATTCACAAAGGGTGAAGCGTTTGGAGAAGTGAACAATATAGGACAACATAGCTGAACTGGAAAGTGAACTGAATCGGATAATTTTTTCAAATCAGCTATTTTGGCCTGGATTGTTCCCTTCTGCCTTCTTCAAACTCTTAAAATTTTTTTGTGAATAACCCTGACATGTTATTTTAAGGCCTATTCAGAGCACACAGCTAAATAAGTCAGAGGAGAGATAAACCCCTCCCTCTTTCCAGTTTACACAGCTCTGTATGGAGTGTCAGTTACAAAACAACAGTTTAGAATTAAGCAGCTAACGCTGGCATCGCTCCCAGCTGTCCCTTATTTAGGGGGACTGTCCCTTTTTTTGGAACTAAGTCCCTCAGTCTCACTTAAGTCACCAATTGTCCCTCTTTCTGGTCTGATGGACACACCTCTGTGAAACTGAATTATTTACCTACCAAAAGTGTTATATGTTAATAAATCTGGCATCCACACTTTAAATTATTGATTTTTTTAAATTTCAAAACAAGTATGAAGGAAAAGTAATGGTGAAGAAACTCAGCTCTGGGTTTAACCAGTCTTTGTTTATACATTGATTCTTTCTGGTTTGTGCAAGTGGGGGAATGGCAGAGGCGCTCTATTTGTCTAAATACTTTGTGCTAATAGATGTCCCTCTTTCCTATCTCAGAACGTTGGGAGTTATAACTGCTGGGGTGTAATTTTAGGAAGCCCAAAATGCTGACAATCCCAGTGTCATTGTAATAGGTTAAAATAAATATTTAATAGAAAAATTACCATTTTGTACAAATTATAAAAAAGATATATAAAACATCTGTTTATTAATCTGTAGACATATTACACAATTATATCGAATTTGCAAAATACCACCGTAGTTGTTTTTTTTTTAACCTGATTCTCCCTTTTTCTTACCCAGTGCAGTTTAGGAAAAATAAAGTGAGATTAAAATATGTGCCTATGGGCAGCACAGACACAGAGATAATATCTCAGTTCCATTGATAAGTGAGCACAATTGTGTTTCTTTGATATTACAGCAGAATGTAGAATTGTGTAATGCCTTGCCTGCAGACAGCACCAGGAAACAGTACATCAAACATTTCTCTACAGCTGTACTTAAATAGCCGCGGCCATTTCACTACTTGACTCATTTCATGCTGTTTCTATTCAATTACAGACAAATACATTTCTTTTGACCATAAATATATATGATTAATAGGAAAAGTAAACTACCTATTAATGGTGTAGGCTTGGAACTTCTGACATTCCATGGCAGCCCTGTAGAACAAAGCAGAGAAAATACTTATTGTGAAGCAGGACAATGCATTTCCTGGCTTCCATCAAATGCTCATAGAGAAGGTCTATCTCACGTAAGTCGGAATGGTGAAACACATTAGTGATTGAGCACGTGTGGAGCGGAACTAACAGTATGTATTTGCTCCATAAATAAAGATGTTTTATCTTCAGTGAAGACCCTTGGAGTGCGGCTATTTCTAGATTTTGTTGCTTTCATTTGTTGCAAGTGTTATGAACTAGATTGCAGCAGAATTAACACACCAATCTGTTGTATAATTAAGTAGTAACGTAGACCACGTTTTAAGCTTGTGCCATTATCTCTTAATTACTAATTAAATGCTTTTTTGGAGCTATTTTTTTTCCCGCAAATTGCAGCAAGTAAGCACATTTGGGTCAAATCTGGCACATTTTTGCATAATCCAATCAAACAACAGGTGTAAAGCATTATGACACGTGTTATGACATGTTCATTCTGAACATTTGTTTTAGAAATAGTCGCTTTAAAGAAGAGTCGCTTTAAAGAAGGTCATATACCTGAGATGAGCACTGCCTAAACTAGCTGTCTTTGAGCAGTTTTACAGTATATCTATAGCATTAATAAATATCTTTGGCCCTGTGTTACTCATGGGCATATCAGGTTATTCTGGAATTTTGGTGCTACATGATATGAGTGTAGAGTCTCCAGGCCTAGGAAAACGTGAGTTTGCAGCAGAGGTGGTGCTAGTGTTAAGGCTTAGTTTGCAGGTTAGGTTAAAGTTAGGTTAAAGAGGAAATCTCTCCAATTTGAGGAGAAATCTTTTCTTAAACAGTTGTCATTGGAACACATGTCCATAATGGATTTTATGACAGCTCCTGTCCAATGACAACTGATAAATGTTGGATTTTCGATTATTTCGATTATTTATTTTCTAAGGCAACCCCTGGTGATGAGGGAGCATGGAGTCGGCTATAGGGGTAATCAGAAAGCCAGGGGTAAAGTCATTAAACGCCGCCCGGCTTCCTTAATGGGACTTCCAGTATCGGTATTCATTATCGGTGAGTACAGAAAACACATATCGGTACTTGTACTCGATACCAAAAAAACTGTATCGGCGCATCACTAATATTGCGCAAATGCTTGCATTGAGCAAGCTAGAATCGCGGCAAAATCCGCTACAAAAAGGCTCCTGCTGTAGCGACGCACGACCCGCGACAGCGACGGACAGAGCCCCATTGCCATGCATTGGAGAGCGATATCGCGCGGTAAATAGCCGCGATATCGCAGGAATTACCGCGTGATAAATCGCTCAGTGTGAATGGGGCCTTAGATTGTTGTCCCACGAGCTGGAAAATCTCTCTATCAGGTTATCTGAGTATACATGTTTATTCAAGGATTTTTAAAAATCTTTCTGCATTCAGATCATTCCTACCCATCTAACTGCCTTCAATATCTATAGCCTGCTTCAGAATATATTTATTGTTTGCTTTTCCCATAGAGAATCCTGCTACATTTCATATGTTTTTGTGCCTTTAATATCTCAGAGAATCAGACTTGGATTAGGTTAATTCTTTCTACTTTTAGACTGCAGCTGAAGCTGCCTGCAGGGAGTACATCGAGGCTCTCTTTTATTGAGATAAATTATTATGCAATTAATGTCATTTAGCTCATTTTTTATAACTGTCAATTCAGAGTTGACGATAGTAATGCTGTTTAATAGAAGCTGCATGCAGTTTTATAAAGCCGCTGGGTAAAGAATTGGCAATCAATTAAAACTTAAAAGGAATTTAATTTAAATCAATGTTCTACTACCAAGCCAGAAAACTTTTTGGGAAGGTGTTTGGAATCAATCCAAGATAGACTTGTAAAATAGCTGGAACTACAGGGGTACTCTGACATTGCCAATAACCGCTCACAGCACAGCATCCCCTTTCATGGGTTATTATGGGGGTACCACTGCAAATCTATGCAGCACAGGGCTCTCCAGGAGTCCCACTTGCAAAGGGGCAGAACAGCAGATATCACCTTAAGGAATATTGGGCAAGGCTGAGCATGGCCTAACCTGGACACAGTCCCACAATCAAGCCCACTTTTTCTCTTGCAGGCATCTGTCCCTTCATCCCCACACACAGATCCATGATGAAGAGAAACACCCTCCTATTGAAATATGGACA